TGACACAACAGAACTTGGCACAGATTCAACACTCACAGACACACAACATTCCTAGACTCAATAAACAGAAGGACCGACACAACATGCAATGTACACACACATTTCTAGATATTCATGTAACCACGGAGACCTATAACACAGAGACCTACACCACACTTCTAGGCACACAAAATGTATATCTAGATACACATGCTTTGCCAAGTATGCAACACAGACATATACAGAACCAGAGACACCCAGTACCCTCCAAAGTATACTCCCAGGCAACTCTGGATGTGTGCACTAACATTCCTGGCACACACATTCTGGCATGAGAGATATCGCGAGTTTCTCACCACCACCCCTGAGCATGATAAAGGGGGCTGGGTTGGATGACTCCAGCCCCATCAGAGCCTAAAGGCACTCTAAGGGCCCCTCCCGCTCTTCCCTCCCACTGGGAAGACTGACTGAATTCTAGAGAGATACTTTCCCGGAGGGGATGCTGGGGCGGTTCCCCGTGGTTCACACTTCCCGACAGGCACAGGAAGCTCACAGGCTAAAGGAGACTGACTGACCTTCAGGCATCGCCCTCCCTCTGCACTCCCACCTTCCTCATTTCCCAAATGACTGGTGTCATTATATGGGGGGGCAGGAGTGCTTGAGAGGTACAGTGTTGGAATGGAGGATTATGAGGGTCCTCTAGGCAGCTTGCCAGAGAAACAATGCAGAGGTGTGTACATGATGCATACTCAGGTATACATACAGTTTACAGAGGTGAAAAAGCATCCCCAATGACATAGATAACCTGGACCCAATTTACAGAGGCAGAAACACAATTCCCAGAAGCAAGTAGTGACCATGTATAGGATTTCCGAGGAGCAGCTGGTAAGCTTGAACCACTGACCTTGCAGTCCAACACATTAACCCACAGCACCACACAAAAAACACACGGGGATCTATAAAACACAGCCTCACGCACAGCTGTCAAACACACAACACCACAAAGGTACATATACCACCTAAACGCACACACACAGTTCTCAAAGGCACATACACAGTCTCAAGTAGAAATGCATCATGTAGTGTGGGCACACAACACACAACCCTGAGGTTTCTGGTTTTTTGTTTTTTGTTTTCATAAACAGTCCTTGTTTCCTCTGGCCCTGAATCTGCACACACTGTGTATGTGTGTGCCCACACATGTGTATATGCATACAGTTACGGACGCTAGGGTCCCCCTGGAGAGCCCTAGATTCACATCTAGGCCTCCCCTCCTTCTAAGGCCATGTGGAGCCCAGGCAGGTCACTTAACTCCTTCCTGGACCTCTATTTCTTGATCGGTACAAAGGGTATAATCAGTTCAAAGCTTTGGGTGTGTAGTGAGGATTGTTAGGGGTTAGCTCTCCACATGGGTTAGCTGAGCTTCACAAGCCCTACACCCATCAGCTTTCCAGATGGTCACACACACAGACATCGCTTCCTCGAAACTCAACAGTTTCACAGCCTGCGCAATAAGCTGAATCCCCACAGCCCTCAGATGTAGATAGTTGGTAAAACCCTCTGCTGACTCAGGCCTCAGAATCAGAGCTGGCGTCAGATCCAGGGTCAGCAAGGGACTGTAGGAGGACTTTCCCTTTCTTCACTTCTCCCTCAGCCTTGGCCATCTCCTGCTCTTACTCAACCTCTACCTCATTCATTCACTCTCACCACCCCACCCCCACATACTCAACCACATTCACAGTCAGTGCCTACAGTCTTTTGGGTTTACTTCTCTTCTTTCCTGTCCTCTCCTAAAAATTCATTTCTCCTCTCTCATTCCTTGAGCAGGTCACTATGTCCCAGTTCCCCCATGTGTATAATGATAACATACAGTCCCTAGCACAGGGATGTTGAGAGGAACAAATTAGTTATTTCAGGAGCAACACAGCATAGTATCTGGCACACACTGAACCTCGATCCTCAGTAAGTGTTCGGTACACTGCATCGCTATGAGTTGGAACCAACTCTTGCACTTAACGACAACTATGATTACTATTGTTTGAACATCACTTCATTAACCAACAAGGAGTTAATCAGGACTGGCTGAATGAGAAACTGTACATTTACAAAGGCTTTAGAACAGTGCTTGTTACATAGAAAGCTCTCCATAAATGGTGGTAGTAATCCCACCTCAGTTGTGGGAGGGTTGGTGGGAAAGGGGAAGGACACGATGGAGTGAGGATTCGTTTTCTACTGACTCACTGGCCTCTTTCACCATCATTCAACAACCCCCCACCTCCATCCCATAGGCACATTCTCTGCTTGCCAGGACTGTGCCTTGCCTGGGTTAAGATCCTGGTATTAGCCAAGGTTCAAATCCCAGTCATGACTTATGAATCTTGGGAAAATTCTTCAATCCTTCTAAAAAATCAATTACCCTTGAGTTGAATCTGACTCAAGGCAACCCCATGTGTGTCCGAATGTAACTCTACTTCTTAGAGTTTTGAATGACTGAGTCTTTGGAAGTAGCTCGCCAGATCTTTCTGAGGCACCTCTAGGTAGATTCGAACCTCCAGCCTTTTGGTTAGTAGCTGAGCATGTTAGCCGTTTGAATCACCGAGGAACTCCTCAATCCCTCTGTTGTTGTTGTTGTTAAGTGCCATTGAGTCGGCTCCTACTCATAGCGACCCTGTATAGGGTTTCCGAGGAGCTACTGATGAGCTTGAACCACTGACCCTGTAGTTCAAAGTGACCTTGCAGTCCAGCGCATTAGCCCACAGTGCCACACCAGGATTTCTCAATCCCTCTAATGCCTCATATTTCCTCATCTGTGAAATGAGAATACCACCAGTTCCCATCTCAGAGTTTGTGAACTTTAAGTGACAAATTATGACAAGTGTGTATATTACAGTATATTGTTCTTAGCTGCCGAAAAGTTGGTAGTCCCTGACTCATGGTGACCCCATACACAATAGAACAAAATGCTGCCCGTCCTGTGCCCTCCCCCACCATCAACTGTGGTGCCAACCATTTTGGTTCATTGGCTGATTTTTCGGAAGTAGATCGTCAGGCCTTTGTTCCCAGTTCATCTTAGTATGAGAGCTCTGCTGAAGCCTGTTCAGCATCATAGCAACACATCATAGCAAATTTACCAACAGGAGTCACCCCTCAGTTTCCCATATGAAAGGCAAGGCAAGAATTCTGCCAGAGCCTCATTGATATATGTTGTTGTTGTTATGTGCCGTGCGACTCATAGTGACCTTGTACAGGGTTTCCAAGGCTGTAAATCTCTACGGGAGCAGAAAGCCTCATCTTTCTCCCGCGGAGCGGCTGGTAGTTTAAAACGGTTGACCTTGCAGTTCGCAGCCCTATTCGTAACCACTACGCTACCAGAGCTCCTTCCATTGGTATATAGTAGGAGTCATATAAATTCTGGTTAGCTGGCTGTGGTTTGAGGGCGGGGTTAAGACCCAGGCTCTGGCTCCAGGCTGTTGTTGTTGTTGTTAAGTGCCGTCGAGTCGGGTCCGACCCATAGCGACCCTGTACAGGGTTTCCGAGGGTGTAAATCCTTACGGGAGTAGAAAGCCTCATCTTTCTCCCGCGGAGCAGCTGGTAGTTTCGAACCGCTGACCTTAAGGTTCGCAGCCCGATTCGTAACCACTACGCTACCAGAGCTCAAATCCCAGTTCTGGAATCTTATCAATCAACTCTGTACCTCAAGTTTGCCCACCTTGCTTTATGTTCCTTCATTGCTTCTACTTTGTTTCTGTCGACTTTCCCTGCCCCTCAGCAGAATGTCAGATCTATAAGGAAAAGAATTTTTATGTTGTTGCGTGCGTGTGTGTGCGTGTGCGTGTGCGTGTGCGTGTGTGTGTGTGTTGAAGGAACGAACTAATTCAGGTTTCAGCCATGAAGAGCTTGGGAAATGTGGAGAAGACGATAAACTTTGGAAGGATTTTGGAGACTCGTGGAGGCAGAGGACTCCTACCTCTAAATTCCCTATTCTGGCTGCTTGTAAGGTTTGGTGCACAACGTGGAGATGGGGGAAGGGGTGACCAGTCTGCGGCCCAGGGGGAGGGAGAGGAGAAGGGTGCATCCCCTTTTCCGCAGCGGCGCCCGCCCCTTGGCCTCAGCGCTGATGGTGGGCGGATGAGTAATGCGTCCAGGAAGCCTGAACGCCTGTGGTTTCCGTACCACTGCCACCCCGCCCCTTCGCATGGACATTTATCCCCACCGCTCAGGCCCTGCCGCCATCTCCGCAGACCCAGCGCCTAGAGAGACACCAGAGGTAGGCTGGGGCCTGGGTGGCCTCGCAGAGCCTGGAGCCGGCCTGGTACTTTCCAGCCAGCCACCAGATCTGCCTGTCCCTGGGCTGGAAAGGGAGGGAGAGAGGGGCTGAAGTTGCTCCATCAAACCCAATCCCCTAAACTCCCCGACCCCTGACATCCATATCAACTCCCCAACCCCATGACCCCAACTGCCAACTCCCCTAAATTCCCTGACTGTCCCCCAGCTCCCTAAACTCCCAAAACCCCCAAATCCTCCAAACTCCTCAATCCCGCAAACCTCAAAATTCCCCTGCCCCTGAATCTCTTAAGCCCCCAAAATCCTCCAACCCCTTAAGCCTCCAAACTCCCTCAACTTCCGAAAACCCCCAACCTCCACCAAATTTCTCATCCTTAAATCCCAACCTCCCCCAAACTTCTCCAACTCCTCAAACCCCAAAGTTTTCATCCCAAACTCCTAAACCTCCAAATTCCACCCCCACAAACGTTTCTCAGATTCCCCAACCCCTTATATTTCAAACTCCACAACCCTCTAATCCTCCAACTCACCCAGGCCCCTAAACCATCCAAGTACCAAAATTGCTTAAACTCTCCTAAATCCCTCTGGGCCCCCCAAATTACCAAACCCCTGAAAATCCACAAACTCCCCAAGCCCAAACCAGTCCCTTAATCCCCTTCCAGGCTGCCCTGGGATAGGCTGGGGTGGGAGCCACCTGACACCCCCTGCTCTGACTCCTGACTCTAGCAGAACCCACCATGCCCCAATTCATGTCCTGGACTTCTGGCATCCTGATGTTGCTGTGGCTGATCGCCCCCAGCAAAGCCTGCACTTGTGTCCCACACCATCCCCAGATGGCCTTCTGCAACTCTGACATTGGTGAGTCTTCACCCCACCCCACCTGCCCTTCTCAGTCCAGTGGGGTTCGCAGTGGTACCTACTTCTAAAACAGTTCTGCCTAGCCCTGCTCTTACTCTGCTCCAGCCACACTGGCCTCCTCACATTTTCTGAAGGACACCAGGCTCAATCCCACCACAGGACTTTGTACTGGCCCTCCCTCTGTCTGGTACATCCTTCCCACTTCCCATCCACATGCATGTCTGCCTCAAGTGTCACTTCAGGGTGGCCTTCCCTGGAAACCTTGTTTCACATTTAACCCCTGATCCCTCTTATGAAGCTTTATAATCCTCTATCACGCTTAAAACTGTTTTTTTTTACATTTTATATACTTATTTATTTTGCTTAGTTTTAGTCCTTCTTCTCATGGCTACAGTGTGAATACCACAAGGGCAGAGATTTTTGTGTTTTGTTCACTGTGTGTCCCTATCACCTTGAACAGTGCCTGGCACACAAGTGTTCAAAAAAAAAAAAAAATGCTTGTTGACTGAATGAAGGAATCCACAGAGCACTGAACAGTGCCTGGCACACAGTTGTTGTTGTTGAGTGGATTCGAACTCACAAGTGACCCTATGTGTTGCAGAGTAGGACTACTCCATAGGGGTTTCTTAACTGTAATCTTCAGGGAAGCAGATTGCTAGGCCTTTTCTTCCATGGTACCACTGGGTGGCTTCAAACCATCAACCTTTAGGTTAGCAGTCAAGTATAAACCATTTATTTTATCTAGGGATCTTCTCGCACACAGTTTACTGTTAGGTGACAACATCGAGTCGGTACCGACTCACAGCGACCTTATGCACAGCAGAATGAAACACTGCCCGATCCTGGGCCAACCTCACTACTGTTGCCAAGCTTGAGTCCATCGATGCTGCCACTTGGCCAATCCCTCTTGTTGGGGGTCTTCCTCTTTTTCTCTGACTCTCCACCTTACCAAACATGATATCCTTCTCCAGCGACTGGTCCTGCCTGACAATATGTCCGAAGTATGAGAGATGAAGTCTGGCCATCTTGGTCTCCAAAGAGTGCTCAGGCTGCACTTCTTCCAACACAGATCTGTTGGTTCTTTTGGCAGCCCATGGCACTTTCAATATTCTCCTCCAACACCATAACTCAAAAGCATCAATTCTTCTATGGTCTTCCTTATTCACTGTCTAGCTTTCGCATGCATATGAGGTTATTGAAAATACCATGGCTTGGGTCAGGCGCACCTTAGTCCTCAAGCTGACATCTTTGCTGTTCCAAAAATATGTGGTGGGTAAATTACAAATGAATATATAAAAATGGCTTAGAGTAATGCCAGGCAATGAGTAGGCAGGAAATAATACAGCTGGGTCAATTAAAGAATGTAAATTGCTCAAGTATGCTGTAAGTCCTATTTAAGTATGTGCTTCTTTAGTATTACTGTGGTGATTTCATTGTTTTTCGCTCAAACAACCCATTTAACTCATTTCCCTTCTCTTCTGCAGTCATCAGGGCCAAATTCATGGGCACTGCAGAAGTCAACCAGACCAGCTTATACCAGCGTTATGAGATCAAGATGACGAAGGTATCCAATACCTTCTGCCCCTGCCCCAGCACTTCCTAACAGTTTCCTTCCCATCAAAATAGACAGTTCTGGCCACAGGTTGGCAAGGAAGTTGGTGGTGGTCTCCAGATGCTATGTGACTTCAAGACAGAACATAAGAGTCGTTGTTGTTACGTGCTGTTCAGTCCATTCCGACTCACAGTGACCCTGTGAGGAGCCGCTGGTGAGCTTGAACTGCTGACCTTGAGGTTCAAACCGACCTTGAAGTCCAGCGCATTAACCCACAGCACTACACCAGGACTCCAGAACAGAAGGGGAGGATGGTATCAGTAAAACAGACACTCTTCCTCTTTTTCATAAACAGATGTTCAAAGGGTTCAGTGCCTTGCGGGATGCTTCTGATATCCGCTTCGTCTACACCCCTGCCATGGAAAGCGTCTGTGGATACTTCCATAAATCCCAGAACCGCAGCGAGGAGTTTCTCATTGCTGGTCAGACCCTACCCCTTCACCCTGTACCATGCCAACTTGTCCCTTAAACACTGCCTAGCAACCATGTGGCATGTGAGGCTCTCAAGGGAATGGTCCCTGGTGAAATAGGGACAGCCCCAATTCCAGCCTATCAAAAGGCTAGGACTTTCCCCAAAGGGATCTGTGCTCCAGGGATGCCAGTTGGGCACCACCCTGGCCCTGGCCCAGCCAATCAGAAGGTGCCTATTGGCTTTCCCGTCTCCCAGGACAACTTCGGAATGGGTTCCTGCACATCACCACCTGCAGCTTTATAGTTCCCTGGAGCAGTCTGAGCTCTGCTCAGCGCCGAGGTTTCACAAAGGCCTACGCTGCGGGCTGTGAGGCATGCACAGTGAGTACCTGGAGATCCATTCATTCCCTGGGCTCCCCTCCACCTGTCTCTGACCTCTCTTGCAGTTTCTCCAAATCTAACACTGTTTTCTTTGGAGATGCTGGTTGTCCCCTTGCCCTGTGTTTGATTGGCTACTCCCTGGACCTTCTGACTGTTCTCTGTCCCTCGGACAGTCCCTAGGTCTGTTCTCAAGTCTTTGGGATTGCTGTCTTGGTTCCCTAGAATGTTCACCAAGAACCCAAAATGCTCCCACTGACTCTTCCCCAACACATCTGACAGTTGTTCTGCAGTTCTAACTATCCCCTGACAGCCACAAATGTCCTCTGGCCCCATTGATGGTCCTCGGGCCTCACTGGCTATTTCTGTACTTAAAATTCCCTACCTGCCAACTGTTCCCCAACCACCAGTCTTAGGAAGCTGGTCCTGTCACTGGTTTACTGTCACCCTGAAGAGCCCAATGACTGTTCCTCCAATGGAGAGGCAGTTCTGGAGTATACCTAGGTGGGGCAATCCAAGTCTCCTAACAACTTGATATTAAAAGTTGAGGAGGTGAAAGTTCTGTTCCATAGGGGAAGAGGGGAAGCCCTTAGAGATATGTCCTCTCCCTTCCCCCAGGTCTTTCCCTGTTCATCTGTGCCTTGTAAGCTGGAGAGTGACACCCACTGCCTGTGGACAGACCAGCTCCTCGCAGGCTCTGAGAAGGGCTTCCAGAGCCGCCAACTTGCCTGCCTGCCACAGCAACCAGGGCTGTGCACTTGGCAGTCTCTGAGGCCCTGGGCAGCATGAATCCTGTCTTCCAGAAGAAGGCTGCCCAGCGCTCATCTCCTTTCCCACTCCCATCTTTCTCCCAGACACTGAAATAAAAACTACCACTCAGCAGGCGGTGTCCTTGTGTAGTGCTTGTGTACAAAACTATCTCACTGATGACCTGGTAGGAGCATCCTGGGACCAATGCTGAGGGGTGACAGATACAAAATGTTTAAAATGCTTCATACTTTACATAAAATTTGATGTATTGGTAATCATTCTCAACATTGGCATTAGCAATGGTTATCTGTAACATCAGTAATCGTAATTTAACCTGCATTATCAACCATAACTTATTGGTTAATTTCTCTAGGCAGTTCTTTAAAACATTTTGCTATATACTTTAAAAAAAAAAAAAACAACTACTTTTTTATGGTTAATTGAATGAAGGTTTGCAGAACAGAACATCAGTTTTACATTCAACAAATCATTGCTTCATTACAATGATTGCAATCCCCAGCATGTACCATCAGTTAATAGTATTTACCTCTTTTCACTTATCTATTGCATTCCTCTCGTGTCTCCCACTGCCTTCACCTTTCCTCTGCTAACCTCCCTCTTGTATATTGCCTGTCCTGTCACCCGTGTTAACATGTGTATACCCTCTAGTCCATGAATAATTTTTCCTCCCTGTCCCATTATTTCTTTTATTAAGAAAACCTTTTCTTAACTTTTTTACAACAGTGATCTTATACAATCTTTGTCGTTTTGTGATTGATTAATTTCACTCAGCATAATGTCCTCCAGGTTCATCATGTTGCGATGAAAGTAGCTTCATCAGTGTTGCATAGCATTCTATTGTGTATATGTACCAACACTTGTTTAACCATTCTTCTGTTGATGGGCATTTAAGCTGTCTCCATCTTTTTATTGTGTCGCTTGTAGACAGCACATTGAAGGATCCTATTTTCGTATCCATTCTTCTTTGTCTGTTTCTCGACTGGTGCATTTCATCCATTTATATTCAGTATAGGTAGGAATTGATTGCTGTCATTTTGCTGTGTGCATTTTTGCTGGTTTCTTTTTTCCACATAATTTTCTGCCCTGAGTTCATTTTGTCTGTGATTTTTGTTTTCTTTTTATTTTCTTCATTTCTGTTGTGTTCAATGACCTCATATAAATGTAAAAGCTGGACAGTGAATAAGGAAGACCATAGAAGAACTGATACATACATTTGAGTTATGGTGTTGGAGGAAAATATCAAAAGTACCATGGGCTGCCAAAGAAGTGCAGCCAGAGTGCTCCTTGGAGGCCAGGATGGCTAAACTTCATCTCTCATACTTTGGACATACTGTTAGGAGGGACCAGTTGCTGGAGAAGGATATCATATTTGGTAAAGTGGAGGGTCTGAGAAAAAGAGAAAGACCCCCAGTGAGATGGATTGGGCTCAAGTTTGGCAACAATTGTGAGGTTGGCCCAGGACCGGGCAGTGTTTCGTTCTGTTGGGCATAGGATCGCTATGAGTTGGCACCTAACAACAGCAATGTTACTAAAACTTCTGATTTTCGTCTTTATTTTGATGTGCAGGTGTCTTCATTTTCTTTGTTACTTCTTTCTGTTTTATCTTAAAATCTACCTTATTCCCTCATTTTGCTTTGTAGTTGACTTCAGTATAAATTGTTATCTCTGGTTTCCTATTTTCAGTCTTGTAGGTTTGTGTTTTACTTGAATATATATATATATAACTTATATATCTGGATTGAGTTCTGAGTGGTGGTGTCAGGTATGGTAATCTCAGGTTGGTTCTTGGTCCAAAGAACACCCTTTAATATTTTTTGTCAACTTGGTCTGGTTATTAAAATTTCTTTAATTTCTATTTATCAGGAAATGTCTTAATTTTGCCGAGGTATTTGAGGGACAGTTTTGTTGTTGTTGTTATGTGCCTTGGAATCGATTCTGACTCCTAGGGACCCTGTACAGGGTTTCCGAGGCTGTAAACCTTTACGGGAGCAGAAAGCCTCATCTTTCTCCTGTGGAACAGCTGGTAGTTTCGAACTGCTGACCTTGAGGTTCGCAGCCCGATTTGTAACCACTATGCTACCAGAGCTCCCTTCCTAGACATATAATTCCTGTTTGACTATTTTTCTCTTTCAGAGTTTTATATATGCCATCTCATTGTTTTCTTGCCTACATAATTTCTGCTGAAAAACCAGAGCTTAGTCTTACTGGTTCTCCTTTGCAGGTAACTTCATTTTTTCCAAGCCGCTCTCAGGATTCTTTCCTTGTCTCTGGTTTTAGAAAGTTTGGTTATGATATGTTTTGGTGATTTATCTTTTGGAATCTATCCTGTTTGTGGTTCATTCCGTTTATTGTATGCTTATCTTCTCATCTTTCATGATGTTAGTGAAGTTTTCTTCCAGCGACTTTGCCACCATTTTCTCTGTGCTATTTATTGCCTCTTCCTGTTCTGGAATTCCGATCACCCAAAAGTTGTTCCTCTTCATGGTGTCTCACATAACTCTTAGGCTTTCTTTTTTTCTGATTGTTTTTCTAGCACCACAGCAGGTCTTCCGGTGTTGAGAGATTTATCTTCACACTCACTAATTCGGGTTTCCATTGCTTCAGATTTACTCCTTTGCTCTTTCAATGTATTGTCCATTTCTGAAAACTTCTGGATTTCTGATTGTAGGTTTTGTATTGTTCAAAATTTGCATTTATTTTGTCTGCTCTTAGAGTGTTTGTCTAAGTCTTCTAAAGAGTTTTTTTCTGTGTTCTCCTTGCTTTCCTCAATCTTTCTGTCAATCCTTATAAAGTACTTAAATACCATTCTTTCTAATTCTTTTTCAGCTAGTTCCGTTACCTTTTCTTCCTCAGAAATGTTTTCTGGCTCTACATCTTGGTCTTTTGTTTGAGCCATTCTCTTTTGGGTAAGCTAGAATTATCTGCTGTCTCCAGGGCATTGTATGGTTTGTCATATTTGTATTTAATTGATGATTGTGTTAATGTGTCCTTATACTCTCACCAACTGTCTCCTGTGTGTACAGTTAGAGAATGGAAGTGTGTATACCATTCTTATTTGCCTTTCGTGCACCTCAGTTTAGGGTGGGTTTGGTTGGTACTGGCTGCTGTCTCTCATTGATATAGGAGCTGGTATTGGCTCTTGCCCAGTGGGTGGAGTTATAGATGTACAGTTGTAGCTGGGCTGTATGGCCACAGTTTCTGTCTCCTTTTGGGTGGGAAAGAGAATGCCTCCTCCACAAGCACACAAAACAAAACAATAGACAAGGAACCAACAATGAAAAGGAAATAATAAAGAGTAAAAATAAAAACAGGCAGGAACCAGAAACAAAGAAAATAACTATAAAGACAGAAGAGGGGCAGGGAAATGAAGCTATAGAAGAGAGAAAAATAAAAATAAAAATTTAAAAACACCAAGAATAAATAAAACAAAAAGAGTGACAAGAAAATGGAGCTATAAAGGATAAAAATGAGAGAGGAAATAAAAGGAAGAAATTACAAAGACATTTAGAAAAAGCAGGGAGAGGAAAGATGAAAAGAGAAAGTAGTAAAGAAAGATCAAAGGAGGGAGGGGAAATAAACAAAAGAGAAGAAGGAAAAACAAAAGTGGAGATAGGATAAAATTCAAGGGAATGGAAACAGAAGGAGGAAAAATAATGAGCAAAAATAATAAAGCAACAAAAAGAAAAACAAAAATAATAAAACAACAAAAAGGAAAACAAAACCAAAAAACAGTACCCCAGAGAGGAGAAAACTGGAGGCTCTGCAAATTTCACGAGGTGGGTGTGGGAGGGTGGTGACAGCAGAGTTCCTGGCTCTAGATGGAGTTCCAATAGTCCTCAGTGTCATCTTGGTTCAGGTTACTCAATCCAGAAGTAGTTCATGGAGGCCCTTAATGGAGCTGCTCTGTGTCTATTAGGCCCACAGGGCAGCTGGGGTCTGGTGGATCTGCAGGTTCTGGAGGTCTGGACGGCGGAGCCTATCTAAATTCAGGCAAAAAAAGTGGCACAGCCAGCCCCCACCTCACACTTGGCATGACTCCCAACCACATGGCTCTGAACTCCTGGAGAGAGGGTCTGCACTGGGGCTAAATGAGGATGGCTGCTGGCCACACCTCAGGTCACCAGGGGAGCATGGAAAAAAAGAAGGAATCACACATTTCCCGTCACCTGTGTGAATCTGCTCTCCCAGACCACTTTCTGTTGCCAAAGATGCTCACAAGATGGTTGTGCCATGTCTGGTCAGCGATTCGACAGTCTCCCTCTCTTGCTGTCTCTGCTCAGCTTCTCCTCCCAGCAAGCACTCAATCACTTCTCTAACCTTCGCTCTGAAGTTCAGGGTTCCAGAATTTTCATCTGTTTCATTAGGTCTCTCAGAGCGTAGTGGTTACGAGTTGGGCTGCTAACCTCAAGATCAACAGTTCAAAACTACCAGCTGTTCTACGGGAGAAAGATGTGGCTTTCTGCTCCCATGAAAATTTACAGCCTCGGAACCCTATGCAGGGTTTCTATGAGTCGGAACCGACTCCACGGCAATCATCTTTGTTGAAAAGAGTCCACACAGTGCTTCTGCTTAGTCTTGCAGGAAGTGCTATATACTTTTTTTTTTTTTTTTTGTCATTTCGTGCCTTTATTGCCCCCTCATTTTCGGTAGCCAATGTCTAAGTTGCCCGTCCCTATCTACCCTGTGCACAGAGCGGTTAGCATTGATACTTGATTTGAAGACTCTTTCCCTCTCTGTTGGTATTTAGAGTAACTACCGCTCTGCATATAGGTCAGGTTCATCATGAAGATGTATCTTCTGTCACTGTAGCTGTTTCCAGTCTGCTTGTCCTTTCTAGTGGGAATGTCTCACCTCACAAGGTTGTGAATGGGACTCAGGATTCCACCTAAGGTCCTATACTATGTAAAGGCTTTGCATGAGGCCTATTTCACTGGGCAAGTTGTAGAACCCCTTTTAGGTATTCCAATCAGTTATAGGCTGAAGGCGGGCTTACAAGTTTTCTCTAATCATGTTTCCCA